TAAATACAATATATTTTACAATATTTATGTTAATACACAGTTTGTATCATGTTACACCATGACAACACGAAACACAGTGATTGTTATACTTTATAATGAAACATACATGCGCGCATGTCATTTATGTCCCTTTTCTTTTGATGTGCCAAATAAAATATTACAAAAAACATACAATTTATAGCGATAGCGAAACAAACATATACATGACAGGTGTTGACATCTTTACTTGGGGTTATTTCAAAAAGGGGAATTTTTGATATGCTTAGATTAATGAACCATATCCGCGAGAGAGATTATTTATGTTTATTAAAGGTGCGTTCACACTGTGGGTTATTATAAAATCTTAAAAACATAGGTCACATAATGAAACAGACAAAAAGAAGAGTACTGATATCAATTTTTGAACCATATTGGATACCGTTAACAAATAAAGCTATACTTAAAGGTGTGTTCACACTGGGGGTTTAATCTGAACTGAATTCAGAATAATTTTTTTCCCGGATTTTTGCGTAACATTCAATTCCCTCAAACCTAACTGAATCTGAATTAACAAATCCGTATATATTTCGGAATTCAATCTAGATCCACTATTCCGAATCGGATTATTCGAAGTCAAAATTTGAGTGAGGCGCGCTTGATTCAGATCAACAGATTTACCGGAATCGAATAACTATGCACGCGTGTTCACTTCTACTCTCGTTTTGTCTCCATCTGGGTGGCGAGATTCCCCCCCCCACCCGCCTAAAGCGTTGACTTCAGTCTGCGCATCCGCGACAAACCAATCCGCATGCATTGTGAACGCAGCTTAGGTGGCAATCGGATTTCCTAAACGTAATGAGAAATTCTGATATGTACGTTTGTTTGTGATTTCTGTCTGTCTTGTCCGTAGATTTGTTTTGTGTAATTGTGTGTGGTGCAGTCTCACTGCACTTACTATTAAGTCAAGGAATCGAGTAAACAGAAGCTCTCATTTTATTGCTTTATTTAAAAGCGCAAATTTTGTACTAACGACATTTATACTGGAGACATGAAATAATTAAATACAGCGTTTAAGACCATGCCCACCCCACCCCCCCAAAAAGACATCCATTTTGGTCCAGATATTATTAAAACTGTTCAATTCTGACTTAAGTCGGAGTCAGCCATTTCAAGTTTGCACTCGTTTCAGGCCAAATTGCCACGTCATTTTTCATGGAATTTATTTTACTGGAGTGAGCCCGGCAATACTATATACCGGAAAACACCGGAATCACAAGAAAACACCGGAAAACAACCAGAAAAGACCGGAAAACAACCGGAAAAGAACCGGTATATAGTATACCCTCCAGGATCCATTTCCTTGATCTGTTTGAAACATCTGTAGCTGTGTCTTGTTTAATTGTATGTGGTGCGGTCCTCCTACATCGTCTTTAAGATAGTACAAGCTTCAGATGTATAAGAACAATGTTGTTTATTATAGGTGTAACCGTTTAACTATATATCATTTGACAGGTGCCCGTAATTCTTGTTAATTTAAGTAAAACGAAACTCACAAATATTTATTGTCATATCAACAAAGGTCATAATAACATTCTGAATAACCTGGATCCTTATTCAGGTAATTGAGCTAGAAATATAAGCCATAAAACTAAATTTACATTTCTAGGCCTAATATGACTGCCTTGATTATGGTAGCGTATAGGGGCCAATAACCCGATAGACACAGCAACATTAAAGATACATTATGGAAGATTAGATAAAAGAGCCGGCAGTTCTCACTATAATAGTTAAAAACTAGATAATGCAAAGGGAATTTGATGAAAATTTCAGTCAAATTGATCCACCCTAAACCGAGTATTTAGCGATTGAAATTTGAGCCTAGCCTCGATCATCATTACTAAAGTCGGTACGATAAAAAACTAGTCTCGATTACCCATTTTTTGATTTAATCAGAAGCAGCAGACCAGGTTCTAATCCAGTAAATATCGCAGGCTAGCAATGGCATCGAGAGTTGATTATGGTCTGGATGAGTTAATTAATGCCTAATTAATAATGTATGTTTAAGTTGTACATGTCAAAATATTGTGATTCTTCTGAGGATTTTATCTCTATGAAAAACAATTTTTGCCAAGTTGATGGAATCAACGCGCTATGTTATATGGCCCCATTTCGTTTTAAATGTGCACGTTTGCGTTAAGATATATTTAAAGCCATATTCCAATTCGCAGTCTTCCGGGTTCGTCTCAACCCTCACATACATTTGAATTCGAGCACATCCTAGTCGAGAATTCCGTGCTTGAACATATATCAAGATTCACCATGTACGAGTCGTATATTTTAAATGTCAAGTTTACTAAATTGTGCTTTACGACGAAAAACGGAAGATAACAAAAACCAAAGCATTTATCTGTGAGATTTATGTCAGTATAGAGCATACTGTCATTTCACCGTAAAAATTGGGATAAAATGCATCCTGAAAATGTCCTACTGTTCTTCTCCGAATTGGGCTAATGAAGACGTGCATACGCCATACAATGTGCACTACGGCCTACTGTTATATCGAATTCTAAATGTCAAGGGATCTTTTACGTGCACGCCAATTTGTACACTGGACTCCGGTTTTTCGTCCCATCCGAATGACTAGACAATGATAATACAATAATAAAAACAATAATACAAAACTCAGCATGCATTTGGGGGATCGCGGTAACTAAGTGGGTAAGACGCTGGCTCGCTAGCCTGGCGGTCGGGTGTTCGATCCCTGCATTGGCCGAGAAAGTTAATCTAGATTTTCTGGCGTGGTTTCCCCTTGTCAGTGGTGCAGGACGAAGGGCCTGACAAGGACAGCTGTCTAGTCGTTGAGGTGGGCCGAAAAACCGAGGTCCCGTGTATACATTGGCATGCACGCAAAAGATCCCTAGTGCCGAAGCCAGGGCAAAATTTCCCTCATAGGAACAAGGAAACACACCTGTGCCAACACACGACTTCACGAGTCCGTTTGGTGTAGAAAAGAAAAATGTTAAACTGTCGGTGACAGTCATTTAGCTTTAGAAAAAAAAATGTATTATTGTAGCTAAGATCGTTGACAGTTATTCAATTTTAGTATTGCTTCGTCATGTGAGCTCATTTTATAGGTCATGTAATGCGAATAACCAGGCATTGACCGTATACACAAATACATACTTTGTGAAGTGGGACGGGTGACGTTTTCGTTTGTTTCATAATATATATATTTGAAAGTAAAGCCCTGCGTAACCGCAGTGGGGTTCTGGGCCTGACTAGAATCCCCGGCCCCTAACGCGACGAAAACATTATTTCATATCTCTTTGAATGACAGGCATGCGTAACACACAATCAAACGGTCTGTAATACAAGAATAATTACAATTCGAAGATACAGAGTCACATCGGGCTATTTCTCAACAATTTTCTAACCGCACTGCATAGTCGGCGATACCACCCTATGTGGAGGCGGACTTTAAGCTCGAAAACAACAACAACCACACTACGCCGCCTCACAGGTGGTGGGGGGTCAGGGTCAAGAAGGGATACATTTAATGAATAGTTTTATATCTTACATTTAACGAGGGGATAAACTGGAGTCAACACACTATAAAACTGGGTATCGCTTAACCGATCGTATATGGTGAATAAAACTGTAAAAAATATGTTTACAGAGAATGACGAGACGTTAAAAGATGAAAAAAACACTGGGTTAGCTCCATGTCCTATTTCTATACAAAGGCATCACACAAAAGGTATTTCAATTCAAATATGTATCTATTTCATTTGACTTAATTTCAGAAAATAATCACCATTTTCCAGCACGATTCAACCGCATGACTAGACCATAATAACAATGAAATAATGCCTTTACAATTAATAAAATAATAATAAAAAAAATAGACACGCGTTCTCCAATTATAATGTCAAGGCCAGATCTCGTGCTTTAAACCACGACCGAGGATCTCATGCAAAAATTAATGGCCATTATGGGGGGTTGGATGCCTGAATGGTTAGCGTGCGCGCGCTGTATCATAAAGTCTGTCATTGAGTCGACTGGCGTGATTTCGAATCCCCGGTTGTACGTGACAAGGAGTAATGGTTGATAATGTGGCTTGAGATAGGGAGAACATTTAGGAATTTATGTACAAGTGTTGGTAGATATTTTGAATCACTTCAAATTTATTCTTGTTTTTTTCAGACTAGAGAAAAAGAAACTAGACACAATTGTTGGATTTACGATTTTACACTCATCGACAGCTGCGATTGATAAAATATCAGACGGGGAAAATAACACATTTTAAAGGAAAATATTGGTGTCAGTCATTATCACGTAATATGTGATAGAACTGGTTAAATACGTCCCAAATATAATTTTAAATACGTGATAATGACTGACACCAATATTGTCCTTTAAGTAATCTAACGGAATGACGGGGAGATATGTTTTATCATTTTAAAATAGCGGTTTTACCATTGTTCTATGTGGATCAATATTCAGGTCTACATTTAATTTTAAACATCATGTATTTCATCTTAAAGTCTAGCGCACATCGGAGATTTATAGGTATTGTAAAGCAAGTTTCAATTGTTACTTTATTGCAAGAAAAAATAACCCACGCGTGCGTCATTGCGATGGCAACGGATATTGCCTTTTGACGCTGGAGTCGAGTTTCCAAATGTCAAACAAGGAAGAGTATCCCGCCTTAACGAGATGTTCATTGAGCAGCGAAGTTAATCCGCCGACCGTCGCCTGAAAATAGTTAGTATGATCGCACTCGTTGCCGTGATTACCACAACATTGCTGGTTGCTTCAACATGCTAACAACATCGCACGTTTAAAATAAGACAAGATTTGAAATTCAAGCGGCATTAAATTAAAGAGCAATTCCGGATTCAGATTCACCTTTTAAGCATGAATTTTTTATTAAAAGAAAGCTGCAAGAAACTGCGGTGCAATGAAGAAGAAAAATGCTGTCTAATTAAGATACTACAAGCTATACAATCATGAATTCTTACCCCTGGAGTTTCAACAACCTTTAAATTAAAAAAAAAATATTATCAAAACAAAAATACATATTATACAAAACTTTCTTCTATTGATCATTGTTTTAAATATTATGCAAACAACACAATCTGATTAAAATACAGATCTATATTTCGTTTCGGTTTTTTTTTTATATTTTTGATGGCGTACACTACATGAAGATCTGAGCGGTTGTAGTGGAAGGTCGTGTCAGAGGTCAAACGAAAAGCTTTTGACCCGATGACGTCAGACGTTTGGTTAACAAATCAGCGTTGATATTTTTAGTGAGTCACCCACAGTTCCGTGCACCTCACGCCAAAAACTCGCCGTAACAGGCCGTTTCCTTGGCTAATCCCTCACATCATCCAGAACGCGGGTTATATAACAACTCTTCCAGATCCTAGTGTAGTAAAGACAAGTAAGACGAAATTTTGAACTATAAAAAACGAAACGAAATAGGATCTGTGTTTTATCTGATTGCAAATAACCATGAATAGATTTGTCATTTGGAATTTAGATCGGGGTCATCTTCTTGCCGCAATGAACACCAAGTATCAAGCAATTTCTTTGAGGAGAATCATCTGACCTGTTTTGCGTAAATAAACCTTAAATAAAATGGGGTTTAATATCTTGGACACCGGAGCCTGGCAGTGTCGCTGTGGCCGAGTTTTGTTTCGATGATTTTCAACTCTTCTACAGATCGTAAACCGCAAAGCATACGCGGAATTTGACATTTTTCGTTCCATCCGAACGACTAGACACCTTTTCGTTGCCACGCTCTCCGTCACGTGCCAATGAAACCGGGGAAAACCAGGCTGAAAATCCCAGAGTAAATCTGTAGGCCAACACTGGAATTAAACCCCAACCTCCAGAGTAAATCTGTAGGCCAACACTGGGATCAAACCACAATCTCCAGGTTACTAAGTCAGCACTCCAATCACCGAGCCACCGAGGATAAACAAGCTACAAAATACTAAGTCAGCACCCCAATCACCGAGCCACCGAGGATAAACAAACTACAAAATACTAAGTCACCATCCCAATCACCGAGCCACCGAGGATAAACAAACTACAAAATGCTAAGTCACCACCCCAATCACTGAGCCACCGCGGATAAACAAGCTACAAAATACTAAGTCACCACACAATCACCGAGCCACCGAGGATAAACAAGCTACAATATACTAAGTCACCATCCCAATCACCGAGCCACCGAGGATAAACAAGCTACAAAATGAAATGAAATGAAATGGGGTTTAGCGTCCTACTGTTCTGCTCCTAACCAGGGCTAATGAAGACGGGCATACGCCATACAGTGTGCTATGAGGGAAATTTTGCCCGGGCAGCGGCACTATCGCATACTCTTATATCGAATTCCAACTGCCAAGGGATATTTCACGTGCACGCCAATGTGTACACGGGATCTCGGTTTTTCGTCCCATCCGAACGACTAGACAACTGTCATTGTCAGCCCCTCCGTCCTGCATCACTGACAAGGGGAAACCACGCCGGAAAATCTGGATGAACTTTCTCGGCCAATGCAGGGATCGAACACCCGACCTCCAGGCTAGCGAGCCAGCGTCTTACCCACTTAGCCACGTGATTCCCCAAAGCTACTAAAAGTAAAAAGATATGTTGACCGTATATAATTTGCCGGAGCCTTATTTGTTTTTCATAGAGCGTCGTCCCCAGATGAGTAGTGCTTGGTTCCCGTTCCTTGTTCAAAAATTGTATGAAAAGTTTTTAACAGGCAACTTTTTGTGACATGAATCCCAACTAAAAGTAAAAATCTTACAATAATAAACGACCATACGAATAAATCTTACAAATTCTTGAATAACATAATAAAATTTCATTGTGACAACATCATCAATAACAGTAAGCAATAAAAAATACTTTAGAAAAAAAACTAAAATTATTAACACAGAAATTGTGACAATGTCTTCAATAATAGTAAGCAATAAACATATTTTTTTAGAAAAAATAACTAAGTTGATTAACTCAGACTGCAGCTTTCAAATGCGCGCGAGAGAGAGATGGGGTTTAACGTCCACTCGACATAACTAGGTCATTTCGGGACTATATATGGTTTAATTTTATTTCAATAATTCGCTTGTGCATAGGGGTCTTTAGCAGTGGGAGGAAATCGGAAGACCCGGAGAAAACCCACGAGGTTGGACAGGCGACCCTACTCCTTGTCACGTACAGCCGGGGATTCAAAACCACGCCTGTCGACTCAATGACAGACTTTATGAGAAGCCAACAACTGTCGTGGTTTCGATTCCCCGGTTGTACGTGACAAGGAGTAGGGTCGCCTGTCCAACCTCGTGGGTTTTCCCCGGGTCCTCCGGTTTCCTCCTACTGCTAAAGACCCCTACGCGCAAGCGAATTATTGAAATAAAATTGAACTATATGTTAGTCCCGAAATGACCTAGTTTGTGTCGAGTGGAGTTAAACCCTCTCTCTCTCTCTCTCTCTCTCTCTCTCTCATTGAAGCCAAAATAAAAACCTTGCATATTGCACCTTTAAGATAAACGTAGACCGACTCATAAACCCGATCTATAACAAAAGTAGTAAAGATTCAAATTTAAAATTTAAATCAGGTTGGCAAAATAAAACAATTGGTCTGTTTACAAATATTTTTTCTTACCTCCTTTTTCCCGCCCATATTAACAGGACCGGAACCTATTAGCTCGCTTTATCCCAAATAAAATTGATAGGGAATCGTCCCTGTTACAACTGTGTATTATCCTATAACGATATGCTAGCCGAGAAGACGGGGTGCGAAGTGGAGACACTTTTTGATCAAATTCACTTCTATAAGAATGGTAGGATACTAGCCAACCATCCGTGACATACTACCTAAAAGCCCGATGTACACTATTCACATCAATGCAGAGTCAAATGGTCTTAGGGTGAATAATTTGTATAAACTACAAATCTAGCTTTTCATAACATGAATTAAGGCCGAATGCTTAACACGATCTTTGAAGATACATTAGTTAAGAGTTTAATAAAGAGTTAGTCATTCTTGCTAAAATAATTCAAAAATAGATGATAAAAAAGAAAATATTGAAAATTTCATTCCAATTACTTCATTCTCAGCCAAGTTATTGTTTGTAGTTTTGATAAGATGTGCACAGTGGTAACCAATGCACTGGTATAATCGGAACTAAGCCTCGCTTTCCCATTTTTTAATTAAATTTTTAAATGGCGATTATTTATTTCTAAAATGAAGATTTAAGCTGCACCAGGGGCATGTATGTGTGTGTGTGTGTGTGGGGGGGGGGGGGGGTGGGGGGTGTCGGAGAGACCAAATTTTCAGTACGGGGACAGAAATGCCGTGTTTAGTTTAAACATATTTTATTGACAAATATCAAAAGGATTGAGCACAAGTTTGAAAAACTTAGAAAAGCCCTTTCCATACATATAAATGATAGACAAAATTTAATACAAACAAGATTGCGAAATAGGATATAGAATAATAAATAATTTATAAGTAATATAAGTAAAGTCAGATGAATTATATCTCAAAGCTTTATATAAAATAAGTGAAGAGGTGCAGGGGAAAAAAAAAAAAAAAAAAAAAAAAAAAGCCTCGCTTTCCCATTTTTTAATTAAATTTTTAAATGGCGATTATTTATTTCTAAAATGAAGATTTAAGCTGCACCAAGGGCATGTATGTGTTGGGGGGGGGGGGGGTGTCGGAGAGACCAAATTTTCAGTACGGGGACAGAAATGCCGTGTTACACTGATAGATTGTAATTTTCTATATCACTTAACGAGTAAATAGGCTCGTGGGTATCTGCCTTTATGGACGAGTTGGCCTAGCTTTTTTTACTGGCCATAGAATGTCATTCATCAGAAATAACAATACAATAATATATTGAATATGGGAATGAATTACAGAGAACAGGGTGAGAAGCCTGACAATCATTGAAGAGAGAGAGAGAGAGAGAGAGAGAGAGAGAGAATAGGTCATTTCGGGATTAACATATGGTTCAGTTTTATTTCAGGTAGTTTAACATCCACTCGACACAAACTAGGTCATTTCGGGACTAACGCATGATTCAATTTTATTTCAATAATACGCTTGCGCGTAGGGGTCTTTAGCAGTGGAATGAAACCGGAGGACCCGGAGAAAACCCACGAGGATGGACATGCGACACTACTCCGTGTCACCCTCACCCCCTATCACACACACATACCATTGTCATTGGTGTAGGACAGTCGGACGTGGCACGGAAATGCGTCTCTTCATTCTGCTGGTAGAGTTGGGATTCGATGAAGAGTAAACACATATGTCGCTGTATCGGCACAATTTCTCTCATTATAAATAAAATGAAATGAAATGGGGTTTAACGTCCTACTGTTCTGCTCCTAAACTGGGCTAATGAAGACGGGCATACGCCATACAGTGTGCTATGAGGGAAATTTTGCCCGGGCAGCGGCACTATCGCCTACTCTTATATCGAATTCCAACTACCAGGGGATCTTTTACGTGCATTCCAATATATACACGGGACCTCTGGTTTTTTTTGTCCCATCCGAACGACTAGACACCTGTCCTTGTCGGACCCTCCGTTCTGCAGCATTGACAAGGGGGAAACCCTGTCGGAAAATCCTGATGAACTTTCTCGGCCAATGCAAATTTCTCTCATAGCACACTGAATGGCGACGCCTGTCTACGATCTCCCAGTTCCTGCAGACTTTAGTAGGACTTAAAACCCAATATGATTTATTATTATTTATTATTATTACAGCATATTTATAGTGCACCTTTTCATATAACGTGTTCAGACGCACTTTACAAAGTGACAATATAATCATAAATAAACAACAAGATTATGGACATGTTAACGATTACAGATGTGTTTTAAGTTGGGTTTTTTTTAAAAAGAATATAGAGATGTACAAAATCTTAAACTAAATGGTAGATTATTCCATAAAACAGGTGCTTGATAACTAAAAGAGCGCTGACCATAACAGACGAGTTGAACAGTTTTGGACTTTAAAAGTAGTTTATCTGATGTACGTAATGTTCTGCCAGGTGTATAAAGTTCTAAAAGATCTGAGAGGTAAACAGGAGCTAAATTATTTAAACATTTAAAAGTAAGTAATAAAATCTTAAAATCAAAATCTTAAAATCAATTCGATATTTAACAGGTAACCAGTGAAAATTATATAAAACATGAGTTATGTGGTTACATGTTTTAGTTAAAGTAACAAGTCTAGCTGCAGTATTCTGTACTTTTTGTAATTTATGTATAATATACAGAATACAGAGGTGTAATGAAGATTGATATCCATTCATTTGATTTCAAGTTATTTTACAAACAATCTGTTTAGTATAGATACACTGCGACCGATGTCAGATTTCAGAACGTTGAGCAAATCCTTGTAGGTATTTTTGAAGCCACGGTGGCGCAATAATCCAGAGGGCTCGCAAACCAGGATGTCCGGATTTATATCCTCGTGTTGGCTGAGAAATGTTATTGGGATTTTCCAGCGTGATTTCTTCTAGGTGAAGGTGATATATAGCGCCTCTGGCCGAGCAAAATTTCCACCATGGCATACAGCGTGGCGCATAACCATCTTCATTAGTCCAATCTATTGAGAAAAGTAGGACGCTAAACTCCATTTCATCTCATTTCGATCGGTTGAAATACGTTGCCGTTGCTACGGGCACACGGGCTATTATTTCTCGCAATGGAGGAGGCGAGGTGGAGGAGGTGTGTGTGTGTGTGTGTGTGTGTGGGGGGGGGGGGGTCTCACTTAAAAATCGCTAACAAATTGCAGTCTTGTTCATTATCATTAACTATCCTATATGAGATTGTTCAGATTATTAGATATGACTAAAATTACGTACACAGAGAGTCCACACAGCAGATCAAGAGAGAGAAAGTTACAGTCGAATTACTTCATTCCAAGCTATGTTAGGGCTGTTTGTAGAATAGTGTAGTCTCGATTGTTATTGCTACCGTTGTTACTATAATAATCAGTCTCGATTATCCATTTTTTAATTAAATCATTAACCGCCAATCGTGTTTAAATCTAGAGCATTCCAAAGTTGATTATGGTCTTGACAAGTTAATATATGTTTAATTAATAATTTTTAAAATACAGATATGACGTCATCCTTTGATGTTGGAGTACCATTATTTCTAATAATCGTACGGGCAATGTGCCACGCGTAACTTGGTAAAATATTGAACTCGAGTGACGTATTTCATTGCAAAGCACGTGCAAGTGTCTGCATTTTAAGTTGTTTAATGGTCTCGAGCTTAAGACATTGCGTAATATATTGTAAAAACAATCGGGCCTCACGGCCCTCATGTTGTTTATATATATTACGCAATGTCTCGCTCTCGACCATTAAACAATACATATAATATTTAATGTGTAATTTTAAACTTGACGTGCAATAATCAGATTTACTTCTTGCATAATGCATCTTTAAAAATATGTATTTTTTTTAGTCATTTTCCTGGAAATAGACATCGTTGTGCAATGATTAATGAGAAAAATCCTTATTGGGAAATAGTCTTTTCAAATTTCTGGGTTAACCAGACCGAACAACAGGGTAATACCCGAAAATATTGTATAATGTCAACCAGGCCGTGGAAAATACCCCAAACAGCTGGATATTACCAGAATATATCGTTTTTGTTTAAAGATACGTTTCCACTAACGTATTTATCGGGTAGTTATTTCCCCCCAAAAATATCTATATAATAGTTATTTCCTCCAAAAAGTATTTCTAGAATAGTTATTTCTCCAAAAAAGTATGTCGATTTTGGTAAATATGGAAAGTATAGACACCCAATCTTACTAGAAAAATACTGGAATCCCTGAAAAATGTGAGGGTGTTCCTATAAGGCAGTCTGTATCCTCAAGTGACGTAAGTAGTGCTTCTTTAATTTGTTGATTTAATGGCTAACGCGTCATATGTCAAATATGCAGGCAGAATATCTCACGGCATTTTGTGAAGATTTGTAAAGTTAAAATAATATCTTGTAAACAGTTTTTCCATTAATAATTTTGATTTTATCTTTAAACAATTTTACAATAAAAAGTTTATATAACCCCCAAGAGATAGTCTTCTCGTTTGTTTTACAGCCGTTTGAACAGTGTTTGGTATTTTGAAAGAAATATTATAATACAGTATATTTGCTTAGCCCTAGAGGAGAGGTGTTCTCTGTTTGTCGGTGGATTGTTTTGATTGCTTTTCTTTTTCAGAAAATCTAATATAGACGTGTCATCAAAGAATCTAGGACAATACATATGGCAATTGTTTCAAACCAGGGGTCACGGTGGCTAAGTGGGTAAGTCGCTGGCTAGCTAGCCTGGAGGTTGTGTGTTCGATCCCTGCATTGGCCGAGTAAGTTGATCCAGATTATCCGGCACGGCCCCCCCCCTTCGTCAGTGATGCAGGATGGAGAGCCTGATAAGGACAGCTGTCTAGTCGTTCGGATGGGACGATAAATCGAGGTCCCGTGTACACATTGACATGCACGTAAAGATCCCTGACAGTTGGAATTTGATATAAGAGTAGGCCGTAGTGCCGCTGTCTGAGCAAAATTTCCCTCATAGCACACTGTATGGTGTATGCTCGTCTTCATTAGCCCAGTTCGGAGCAGAACAGTAGGACGTTAAACCCCATTTCATTTCATTTCATTGTTTCAAATGAATGTGCGCCCCACACGACCACCCAACAAAACATACACAATATCAAAGCCAAGGATATATTAACATTTTAATCAGAAATGAGATTAT